GAGAGGCAAGGAAAGAGAGCTTTAAATTGAAAGATTAATTTCCCAAGAGGAATCTGGGCTGAATGACTGTAGTGCTATACCCTCCAATCTTCGCAGGTGGGCATGGAACACTGCTTGCATCACTCTGTGCATGGTGTAAATTCGTTTATCCACAAATACTCACATCCATCCATCAATATATACATGGTTTGGGATGAGCAGGTCAATCGTTTTGAGAGGGAGTTTGTTCCTTTTTTTTTCTCATTATACTCTTAAATTGTTGTCAGTTATCAAACAAACAAACAGAAAAAATGTATGGAAAAACCTTGCATACGCCTTTTCTATCAAGTGCTTTAAAATATAGACTAAATACACACATCCTGCCAGTTTTTTCTTACAGTGACAGTATCCTTACCTGCCATTTAATATTAGCCTCGTATTTTTCTCACGTATATTTACCTGTGACTTGTATTTGTTATTTAAACAGGAAAAAAAACATTCAAAAAAAGAAAAATTAACTGTAGCGCTTCATTATACTATTATATTATTATTATTATTGTGACATTTTGGAATACTGTGAAGTTTTATCTCTTGCATATACTTTATACGGAAGTATTACGCCTTAAAAATACGAAAATAAATTTTACAAGGTTTCTGTTTTGTGTGGAAGAGTAATTGATGTTGCTAAGAATGATGTTTGTTTTTTGGGGTTTTTGTTGTTTTTTTTTTTAAATGTTACCAGCACTTTTTTTGTAAGTTTCACTTTCCGAGGTATTGTACAAGTTCACACTGTTTGTGAAGTTTGAATATGAAGGAATAATTAAAAAAAAAAAAAAAAAACTCTTCTCTTGGTTTCCTATTGTGTCTTCTTTATACTGTAGTTTCTGTTTTAGGCAGTTCTCTACATTATTTTGCACATTGTATTCTAGGTCTAATCTGAGATTATTTATCCAAACTGAGGACTCTACCTGGAAGGCCAGAAAAGTTCTGATTAAATTAGTTCTCTCAATACAAGAAGTAGAAACTGCAGACAGGATTGGTGATGTTGAAGTCACTTTGAGGAAATATAAAACAAATTGGTGTATTATCCTATGCATGTTCAAACCTCAAAAGTGGCAAGGCTCACTTACTGCTCTACAGATTGATTCACGTGTTTTCCTTTTCCACATGCTAATCACTCTCTGCCTATTGTGGAAATAATCAATTCCATTTGATGACACTTTACCCACCTATTATTGTGTCCATCCATCTCTGTTTTCCGTGAATCTATCACTGAGTCTCCTTTTAAACTCTTGGGTTTCTTAGTTATATATGCAAAAAAAGGAAAGTTCACGGCACAAAACCTGCCCCTATTTGATGACTTCGGACACTCATAAAGGACTCATGTTGAGTCCAAAGATCTTTGCTTGCATGTGACCCTGCCCACAAGAGCTCTCTGATCTGGTCATTCTTACAGAAATTGCTATTATGAGGAAGAGAACATATCTTACTTGTCCTTGGTAAAGTCAACACAAATTAAATTCACAATGTCTTCTGTATTTCAGTCAGTATTGTGCAATGTGTGAATAAAAGAAAGGAAATTATTTCAGCCATGAGAAGGCTTAAAATCTAAAAACTGGACATAAAAAGGGTTTGTGTAAAATCAAGAGCTAGATTGTACCATTCAGACTCTCAATGCCTAGGGAGTTTCTAAACTAACGAAGTTGATAATGGCTAGAGTGAGTCAAGAAAGGGTCCAAAGAATAAGCAGTCTAGTTCAGGGACTCCTAAGAGCTTTGAGTTGGAGAAGCTGAGTGTGGACAGACATTTCCACCAGTGTGAGGAGCATAAAAATGTCCAGGCATGAGCTTAGAATGGGAAAAGTCATCAAGAGACCTCTAGACTGAGAGGATGTGAATAAATTCCTGAGATTTCATGATTATCTCTATGAATTTAAATATTTACTTCTTGCAACTCAATCGCTGAACTTCTAAGTCAACCTTATTGATACCCTAGAATTATAAAGAGAAAGAAAATGTTTTCATGATGCATAATTTGTCCCTATATGATTTCTGTGAACCAACATCTTAACAATGCCAGCCAACTTCACCCAGAGTCTTGGATCTCTCTTTGCACCATCTACACACTTTTGAGTTTTCTTCTGTACCTGTTAAAAACATTGTGGTGCAATTCACATACAGGCTGTAATAATTATAAATGACACATAAACTGCTCATGTGGCACTTCACAGTTTACAAAGTTTCTCCTTAATATACTTTATCCATCTTCACAGTCACCCTGTGAGCACTGTAATGTAGCTGTGAGTGCACTAATTTATAAAAAACAGAGGTTCAGAAATAATGTGTTCTTCCAATACAAAACAATTTAAACCAGTGGCTGAGGTCAAGTTCCCTGAAATCCAATAATATTTATATCATACCAGCATTCTCAAACTTGAGTAATTTATACACCCATATGAAGGAAAAAAAAGACTTCCACGGACCTCCCCAATGGAAGAGAGTCTGTGATTATTCTTATTGTAATGCTTAGTAATAAATAATATGCATAATTACTTTATTATAAACATTCTTAAACATAACAAGTGAACTCAATATGCTTATACCTCTTGTAGAATTATAAAACTAAAAGTTACAAATTGAATACAAGTAAAATTATAAAATTAATAATGTCTACATTAACAATGAATGCATAGAGTGATGTTTTGCTGAATCTAAGTCGTGGCTTACAAAGTTAAGTATACTGCACACATCCTTCTAAATACAGCATCCCTACATTACCATGTGCAAAGTAAAGATAATTCTCACTTCACTTTCCTATTATTTCAACTACTGCAAAGTTTTCCACTGCTCCACCCATCTGGAAGTAAATGGATCATTTATAAATTAAGCTTCTGTGCCTTTAAATCAACTTGATTATAAACACAAACATAGAGGCCAAAACCAATGGCAATACTCTGTTATAAGAAGGTTATCGATATCCAGATATATTTGACTTCTTTAAAAATTATCATTTCATTTAAAACACACAATGTTTAAATGCTTACAGAGAAGTTGTGGACCCCAAAGTTATATCTGCAACTCTTGGCTTTCCTTAGATCCCATTTTTTAAGAACATTGATAGATAACCTTGGTTGTTCCCAACCAGTTTCGTTGCCTCTGTGAAAACTTCTGTGGCATCATAAACATTATCTGGTAAACATGCTCATGGGGCAGAACCCAATGATAATATTAACCCAGCATCTTGCAGCTGACAAAGCAGTCAGCCACATTCCTCCCTCATCTTCTTAAGAACCTTAGAAAGATAGTAATATTATCATTTTACAAATGAGGAAATATTTATGAGTCTCTGATAGGTTAAGTGGCTTATCCAAAGTCATGAAACTAATTGCAGAGCTCAGCACTTGGAGCAAGTTTCTCAGTTCCCAGTCCCCTACACTGCATAATTACTTATTTTTGATATCTGTGAAGTCCATCCGAGTTTTAGTCCCAGAGAAGGTGTTCTTCACAGCCTACATGAAGTCAGAATGAATACAGTCCAAGGTAAGTCCTGTGATAAACATCTATTCCTTCCTAACCCTGATGCGTTGCAAACTTCTTGACAGTTTTTGGCCCTATTTATGTGAACTGGACCACTTAGCTACCTCAGATACTTTTTGGGGGAAAAAAACTAAAATAAATAAATATACGGTCTGCTTTGACCTCATGGTTTGTCTTGATCGGAGGATGGATACAGAAAAATGAGGAGAACCCCCAAGTTTCTTCCTGGTGGTAGCCATTTCAAATGGGTAACAACTGGAGGGCCATCAGTGTCCTATGAACACAGCTCTCTGTGTTTATATGCAAGGCAGTTACTAGAATTGTGATGTCTAATATACTAGCCACCAGTCACATGTTGCTATTTACATTTAAATTTCCTAATTAAAATGAAATAAAATTTAAAATTTAGTTTCTTTGTCACATTAACCAAATTTCAAGAGCTCAACAGCCACATGCAGCTAGCAGCTACCATACTGGATGGGACAGACATCGAGCGTTTCCATAATTGCAGAAAGTTCTCTTGGATAAGCATTGTCCTACAGTAACTTATGCAAATAAATTCCCTCGAGCATTGAGTATATCATTCTGACTTCCAGAATGTCAGGTTCTTGCCACACAAAAAGCTCCCCTGGACCTCTTGACAGGTGTGACTTGGCATGGGTTTGGGAAACTATCAGTTACAGCCAAGAAGCAGCACCTGAAAGAGTCCAAAGACTAAACAAAACTCACACTTCGCAGCTGACAGCCACAGCCACACTGCCCATTGCCCGCCTCTCTGTGGGGTGGGGTGTGCCTGCCAGAATGCTATCATTGCTGGACAACACACCCAGCCTTTCTGACTGTCCAGCTCAGCACTGATGGCATCCGAATGAACCTGAGTGTACAATGAGTTACACTGAGTGTACAACTGAGCCCATTTCATTTCTGGGGCTCACGGGGCGAAGGGAAAGGGCATGAAATAAAATTGCATAGTGAGGTCCTGTTCAGTCATGAAGAACATCTGTCTCAAAGTTCCATACCTCAAAGTTTCTCACATTTGTTTACTATAATTATTGGGATTATATATCGGACTTGTAAGCCCAGGCTCAGAATGTGGGCAGGGAATCAGTAATGTATTCTTCCTTGAATGCTCATTCATAGATTTGTCTATTTGCTCCTCCTGTTAAGGAATCCACAAGGGGACCCAGAAAAGCCTGGCATTGCTTTCTGTCAGCACAGCGTGTTCCCCTGCCTCAATCTTTTCTGTGCTTCCCTACATATTTCCGAAAAGACACCGTAAGTGGGAAAATCTTCTTCAAACACTATTTTGAATGAAAGAAAAAGAAATGGAGACCAATAGATACAGATAGACACCCTCCCTGGGTATCAATCAGCTTGGCTTGGGTTAGCTACTAGAGTGTCACAGTCCCATAGAAATATGAGAGCCACATATGCAGTTTTAGACTTTTCAGTAGCCATGTTAAAATGATAAAAAGAAATGTGAAATTAATATTAATATATTTTATTTCTCCTAGTACAGCCAAAATATTATCATTTTTGACAATCAATATACCAAAATTACTGAAGTAGTATTCTTATTATTCATATTCAATCTCCAAGTCTGGTGTGATTTTCACTTATGCCAATTATAACAACGCATCTTGATTCATCAACCATCTTACCTGGTTGATGGCCACATGTGGCAAGCGGCTCCGTGGTGGACAGCACATGTCTCCAGGAATCTGGCTGTGGAGATGGTCTTCTCTGGTTCTCAGAGAAGAATCTAGTTCAGTGAATTCTATTTAAAATTTTTTTCAAAGCGAATCCCATTTTAGTAACCTGACCCATTTCTAACATGTATAGGCCGTTTAGTATTTTATTACCATCCCAATGGTGTTTATAAATGTTTCCCAATTACCATAATTACGTTAAATAACACCCAAATCTCAGTCCAACCTCTGCCGAACATACATCTCCTCCAAATCAAAACACTACTCCATTTTCACCATTACGTTTTAGTTCACTTCCAATTTGTGAATTGTGTTCTGTTTCCAACAGATTTGTGCTAATTTTGCAAGAAAGACACTGTAAACTGTCACAGCAAACAACAACATTTTTACATGCATCTATCCTTCTTCCAAAAGACTTGGAGCTCCAGACAGATTTCAGTTCATTCTTCCTAACTATGTAACCCATTTGGTAGAAAGGTGAGAACAATAAAAATAAAAATCCAAGGCAGAATAGGAGTTGAATTGTCTTGTTACTAAGACGATTGTCAACCCCAGTCTATGTCTTAGGAAGCAGGGCCTTTATTCTTAGGAAGCAATTCTTTATTTTAACCATGGGCAAAACCCAGCCTTGCTTCACATTCTCTCTTGGTTCCTGGGCCCATGAAAGAAAATCAGTCACCAGTAAATCTAGCCTCCCTGTTCATTCCTCTGAGAGAGACAGTGGAAGGATAAAAGTCTTCTAAGATTCAGCCTGAATGCAGTTAAACAGAAATAGCCGTCAGTTACCCCAACCCCAGCACAAAAAGGTCAGGGAGTAAATAAAAGGGTTCGAAGAAGTTAGTTTAAGGGTTTTTATTTTTTAAACCCTCTATTACCTCCAGTCCCCTTTTTTCCCTTAAGAAGAGCCCTTATTTTAAAAATCTGCATTTTCCTTTTAGTGGGAAACGTTCTTTTTTGAAAGGCTCAGCAGTGTATTGATGCAGAAAAGGTAGATCAAGGCCCAAATGCTAAGACTTGGCTCCCTCCGCAGGCACGTGCGTTTCCTGGGGCTTCCCCAGCACACATGGGTGGAAGAGCCTACAGAGCAGTGTGTCAGGCTGTCTAAGGGGCGAGTATGTCACAGCAAAAGGGAACTTGAAATGCTTGCCAAGAGAATAAAATCTGGAGTTTGCTGGCTCCCTTGGTGCCAGGGACTTCTTTGTGGGATTTTCAGCTTCACGAAGTTCCCTAGATAAAACTCCTGCTCCTCCCAGACCAGCCTCACTATCTCCTTGGTGGTCCCAGGCCACTTCAGCACAGATAAGCCTATGCCAACTACCTCACCCCAAACTATCATCTCTTCCCGAAGGCCTGCATTACATCTTCTCCTCTCCTTACTATAACACCTTTTCAGGACAATGTTGTCTCCCCACTTAACTGTAAGTTCTTGAGGGCAAATATACCAAGATTCAGTCACTCTCAAATCTCCCCATAGAGACTGATACCAGGCCTTATTAATAACATGCCTTTGAATGAGTAAATGTTACCGAAAATGACAGTGAAAAAATGAGATGAGGATGGCTCTGCAGTCATGCCATCCGCGTCGTCAGCCACAAAACCTTGTAGCCCAAAATGCTGGCCAGTGCCATTATGAGGACCTGCTCAAACAGCCAGATTTAAAATAGGGTCAAGATATTTTTAAATTTTGCATTTATGATCAAGATCCAAGTTACTCACCCTAGGCCTGCCATAATGCAGAATGGCATAGAATGAAAAGGTCAAGGAAATGAAGATGAAGAAGAAGATGACATTTATTCATGCAACTGAACACACACAGAGAGCACTGATGGAGAGTACAGCTGCTTATGTATGCATCTATAATGGCAAAGATAAAAGTTTATCTTCCAGAAGATGCCTCTGGTTGCTAACCAGTCTCTGTCAAGAAGCTCCCCAGGCTTCTGTAACTTAGGACATTGAAGTAGTCATGCAGCTCAGCACAGCCATCTCCCCCCTGTTCTCCGCAGAGCCCAGCAGGTGCAGCTTCTGCCTGGACACGGCTTCCTGCAGATGAGGGAGCACTGAGACTCTGTTCCTCCTGTCCAGCTGATTTCCTCTGGAGGCCGCTTTCCACAGAATGGATTCTGAGAGATTTCTTCTAAAAACAAACGAACTACAAAGTGAGTATGTGGGGATGTTATTCAAATGTTACTCCCCAATATGACACATATTGAGAGTTATCATGATCTCTCTCTTCCTTTTTACCCACATACAGATGGGCAAACTTGTTCTTACCAACACCAATTCCTTCGCCCTTAATTTCTCAACCGCGATACAGCTAGATTTCAATTCTAACCACTCCACGGAAACTACACTTGCTATATACACCACGTGCCACACACCTTGTTACTTCCTGTTCACTAAGCTTAGTGGGGCAGTTTTCCATTCTCTATTTTCTTTTACTCTTTACTGTACTTGACTCTGTTGGCCTCTTCCTTACTGAAATGCTCTCTTTCCCTGGTTCCTATGGCATCACTCTCTCCTGATTCTCTTCTCCTCCTTTGAACCCCCACCATCATCTTCAGCCAAGCCTGCCCCTTTTCTGTTTGCACAAAACCTCCCCAAACAATGGGGTTCCCCATGGTTCTGCCCTCTGCTTTCTTTCACAGTAAACATGCTCTCTGGTTACTTCATGAGCATCTACCTTCTTATATCTACAACTACCATCTGTCCTCTGAAGAGGCCCAAATCTCTATCCAAACTAGCCCAGGCTTCTGCCCTAAGCTGCAGACCCAGGTGTCTACCTGTTCACTGGGCATCATCATCTGACAACCCACAGCAAGCTCAGACTCAAATTATCTCAAAGGAAACCATCACATTCCCTCCCCAACAAACCACACCTGCCCTTATATTCAATGCCCTGTTTTATGGCACCAGCTGATCAGAAATCTGGAGGCTGATGTTCAACTCAAATTATCTATAAAACCTCATTCAATTTTAATCCTAGACGGTTCTGAAATCTACTATGTCTTTTCCATCTCTATATCCATGTCTTATCTCTCACCTGGGCTTCATCCTCACTGTCTCTGGATTCTCTCTTACTTCTAGCCCAACTCCACATGGTCACCAGCAGAGTGATTTTCAAAAATGAAAGTTGGGTCAGTCCATGCTTCTGCCTAAAACTCTTCAATGGCTCCCACTGTGTATAGGAGGGTACTTAACCTGAGATGCACTGATGGATTTCAGGGGATTTGTTAATTGCATAGAGAACGTTGCCTAGAGGGACATTCTTCTAGGAAGAAAATCCATAATTTCACTACATTTCCAACAAGAAACTGTGATGATCCCCAAAACATCCCTTGTGATGGTCCCGCTCACCTTTCCAGTTTACATGCCAGGAAAAATGCTAAGTGCCTTACATGACTCATTATTTCACTGAAGTTTTCTCATGACCTTATGAAGGTAATGCCATCATAGTCAGCATTTTACAGAAGAGGAGACTGAAGGTCAGCAAAGTTAGGTGACATAACTACTCAAGTGGTGGAGCTGGGAACCAAACCTACAACTGTCTAATTCCAAAGACCATGCTCTTAAATAATGCAATCTATGCATTATTTCTTCCATTTCTATGCTCTCAAGGTCTGTAGCGAATGCTGTTGGTACCTGTCATAGCTAATTTTAGGTATCAGCTTAACTGGATTGAGGGACCTGAGAGAGCTGGTAAAGCCATTTTGGGTGTGTCCGTGAGGATGTCTCCAAAGGAGATTGGCTTTTTAGTCTGAGTGAAGTGAGTGGGAAAACTCCACCCTAAATGTAGCCAGGCACCATCCAGTCACCTGGGAGCTTGCCTTTCCCAAAACAGAAGAGATGCAAAATTGGTCTTTCTTTCTTTGGAGCTGGGATGCACTCTTCTCCTCCTGTCCTGGGACGTCAGGACTCCAGGCTCCATGGCTTTGGGACTCCAGGATTTATGCCAGTGCCCCCCACTCTGAGTTTTCAGGCCTTTTGCTTTGGACTGAGAATTGTACCAACAGCCTCACTGGTTCCAAGGCTGTTGGACTTGAACTTCGACATGTTACCAGCATTCCAAGGTCTCCGGCTTGCTAACAGCCTGGGGTGAGACTCCTTCCTCAGCCTTTACAGTCACATGAACCAATTCCCCTAATAAATTCCCACTTATCTATCTATCTATCCATCCATCTATCTATCTCTCCTATGGATTCTTTGTCTCTGGAGACCCCTAACTAATACACAGTTTCTTCTCAGATGCCTCTACCTGACCAGCACTCCCATTTTCCAGATGCTGGGAGTATAGGTTGTGAGCTCATAGCAGCCCCTTCTCTGGAGAATTGCTCTTGGGCGTTCCCTGGTGAGCAGCCAGAAATGATACTGACCTAGGTGGATTTCCAAAAGGCTATCTCCCTGTCTGAAGGTTCAACCAACTCTTTGTACAATTCTTGCTTCAGCCAAGTCTCCAGCTGAAACCACATCCATGCTGAGCTTTCTTCCATTGGTCCTCCCAATACTGCTTCTGTCACTACCTTTCATCTGAGAGCCGTCCCAATATAAGTCACTCTCACGAGAATTTGCATGTCAGTCTCTATTTCCCGGGAGCTGATGTAAAACAGTTGCTACTGGGAAGAATCCTAGAAGGCAGCCTGTAAGAACAGGATTGGGGAACAGAATCACTAACTCGCTAGATGGCAACACAAACCCCATGGCTGGTGGTGAAATGAGATGGGACACAGATGAAGAGAACTATGAGCTGGTGCAATGACTCTAACATTTGAGATGTATAGGGTAAATAGTAACTGTTAGAACTCTGGAATTGGGTAAATAATATAGAGTAAATAGTAACTATTAGGACTCAAAAGTGGCTTTTGCTAAATTGTACCGATGGACTGAAGAGAGAAAATGACAGCCTCGGCTCTATCAACAACTCAAAGTGTAAGACTTACAGCTCCTCCTTGGCAGCATTTAAGAGACACACATCTCTCCAGCAGCTGAAGACCAGGTATATAAGCTAATTGTAAAAGGGACAAGACTTTAAACAAGGCTGGATTCTAAGCCTATGTAAATTTTCAAGATGCCAAAGTTAGCATCTTGATAGTAGAGGAGGAGTCTCTGAAAACTTGGAACGAGGATCTCTGGAAAGATGCATTTGAGAGCTGTGAACCACCTGCTTCTCTTATACCATCTGGAGTGGCAGAAGTGGCCCACTTCCCCTTGATGGAAGAGAATCCCTGCTGAGACCTGCCTTGCCTCCCCTATTGGCCATCAGATCCATAATTAGGGTAAAATCTCTAACGGAGGAAGTGCTGGGTCTGCTAAGAGAAGAGAAAGCTTATATACTAAAGGGCCTGGCTAACATCTACTGGCAGGAACTGAGAGAAGATGCCTAGGCATGAATTCTGAAGGTGATGAATTCTGGTGGGGGTTACAACATAAGACTGGATGAGGAATAATCTGTCAGTATTGGAACACATAAGATTTAACACCCTCGCAAAGGCCCCAGAAGACAATTCTGATATACTGCTGTTAATAGAGATGACAACACTGCTTTGGCAAACTATGATGCTTGGAGAAGCGAGAGTGCTAGAATAAACCTACTCAATCAGAAATTGACAAACTGAGTTTCTTGAGTCAAATATGTCCCATTGCTGGTTTTCGTACAGCACATAAACTAAAGATGGGTTTTATATTTTAAGTGTTAAAAAAAAAATTTTAAAAAGTAGTATCTTATGCACAGCAAAAAAAAAATAATAATAATCAGCAGTGTAAACAGACTATCCATAGAGTGGGAGAAAATGTTTGCAAACTATGTATCCAACAAAGGACTAATATCCAGAATCTACAAGGAGCTCAAATAAATCGTCTAAAAACACAAACGATCCCATCAAAAAGTGGGCTAAGGACAAAAACAGACAATTCTCAGAAGAGGATATACAAATGGCCAACAAACATATATTAAAAAAAAAAAAGATCAACATTACTAATCATCAGGGAAATGCAAATCAAAACCATAATGTGATACCACCTTACTCTTCTTGCAAGAATGGCCTTAATCAAAAAAATTTAAAAAATCATAGATGTTGGCGTGGATGTGCTAAAAGGGGAACACTTTCTTTTACACCGCTGGTGGAAATGTAAACTAGTACAACCACTATGAAAAACAGTGTGGAGATTCCTTAAAGAACTAAAAGTAGAACTACCATTTGATCCAGTAATCGCACTACTGGGTATCTACTCAGAGGAAAAGAAGTCATTGTACGAAAACGATACTTGCATATACATATATATATATGTATATATGTATGTATTCCACTAAAAATATATATATACATAGTGGACTATATATATATATATATATATAGTGGAACATATATATATATAGGTATTTATATATACATATATAATATATATATTTACATATAAATACCTATATATGTATTTCTCCTCTATATGTGTGTGTATATATCTATAAATAGATATATACATATATATCTATATCTATATATATATATATATATAAATTCCTGCTTGTCTATCTATCTATTCATCCATCTATCTATCTCTCCTATGGGTTCTGTCTTTCTGGAGACCCCTAACTAATATACAGTTTCTGCTCAGATCCCTCTACCTGATACACACACACACACACACACACACACACACACACACACATACATATACATATGCATATATGTGTGTGTGTGTGTGTGTGTGTGTGTGTGTGTATGTGTGTGTAGTGGAATACTACTCAGCCATGAAAAGGAACAAAATAATGGCATTCCCAGCAGCCTGGATGGAATTGGAAACCACGATTACGACTATTACAAGTGAAGTAACTCAGTTCTCACTCATAAGTGGGTGCTAAGCTATGAGGATACAAAGCCATAAGAATGATACAATGGACTCTGGGGACTTAGAGAAAAGAGTGGGAGAAGGGTGAGGGATAAAGGACTACACATTGGATACAGTGTACACTGTTTGGGTGATGGGTGCACCAAAATTTAGAAATCACCTTTAAAGACCTTATTCATTCCCCAAAAAACTATTGAAATAAAAAAATATATAAAAATAAAAAATAAAAGCTTATAGAATGAAAAAGTAATATTTATTACACATAAAAATTATGTGAAATTAACATTTTAATGTTTATAAATAAAGGTTTATTGGACAGAGCCAAATATTCATTCATTTATATATAATCTACAGCACCTTCACACTACTATGGCAGACATAAATTGTTACAACAGAGACCATATGATCTACAAATCCAAAAGACATACTATCTGTCCCTTTACAGAGAAACTTTGCCAATCCCTGTACCGAATAACTTCAAAAATCCAATAGCTGATTTTGTTGGCTTTTCTAGGGAAGATCCAGAGAATGAGGGGAAAAAAGAAGCAGGAAAAGGATGTTCCTTTTACTAAGCTGGAAAGGAATGTGCTAGTGAGGGGAGCTCCAGCATCATTGAGAAGTTTGGTGGTATTTCTCCTCTAATAAGCTAGGGCTAAAGTAGGAGATGCTTGTACAGAACTGAATCCCTAGTAGCAATGAGGATGAGGAGATCTCAAAATAGTATAGGACAGATAGCAGCACTTAAGAAACAAAATGGATGTAATTACTGCAATGGGAACTAAGAAAGCTTGACCCATGGGGATATCAAAATGGTTAATAGAGCATGGTGTGCCCAGAAGAAATGTAGCTGGGCAGCCAACAAGCGTATTGCTTATATACATCATCAAAAGAGATCAAGACTACATGAGAGAAGGCTGACGCCAGCCAACCCCATAGAAAATCAAGATCCTCTGTCCAGCTTTCTGGAGTATGAACACTGCTGGTATGGATGCCATCCATTTGCCCCTTGGCTCTACTCACAAACCTTCTTCACCCTATTCTGTGCCCTGTGAAGACTGTACTGTATGTGCTACATCAATGAGTTCCCTTGTCTTCCCACCTAAGTTTGAGTTCAGCCAATGCAGAATGACAGTAGAGGAATAGAGAGAGGAATGAGATGAGGGTATGTAGTTCCCTTTGTTATCTCGGCAGGGTGGCCTTGGACTGGTTGTAACCCTCCAGCAAATACTACAGCACTTCTGAAGGAGGCCCCTCCACATAACTCTCTCCTTCCAGGCTCCAGTAATTATCCCCTCCACATCCCTTTGAAGAACTAGGAATGGTTACAATACCTTGCTACTCCTCCTTATGGTGTCCTTACATCCTACCAGACTTTTGGAAATCCTATTATTAAACTGTCTTCAAACAACCCAGTTTCAGAGTACTATATGTGTTCTCTGCTGGAACTCTGAATAATGCAAGTATAAAACGTTTTGAGCAAGGAGAGAGAGAGAGAGAGAGAAGACTGGCAACTATAGCCCAAGTACAGGAAAGAAGCAGCGAGGACTCCAGCTACACAGGAGGCAGTGGAAATGCAGAGAGGGTGGGGATCAAACACTGGGGAAGGGGAGAAACAGGACTTCATAGTTACCGGCTCCCTCTCTTCACCTTCTTCTCTTTCTCAACCCTCCAGATGACCAAAGTTAGTCCAAGTGCCCAGAATGAAAATTAACTATTTTTGAATCCTTAACAGGAAAAGTTTTTCAGCTTCTTCTAAAGAACTTTTGATTCTTTTATTCCAGACCATCAGGACACGGCTGACAGCAGAGATTTTCTTCACCAACCATCATAGCAGCTCCCTTCCCAGCTCAGGGATCAATTTTCATCTTCTTCACCTCTCCCCTCTATTCAATAATTTCTCTGGTCCTCGCCTTCCTCTAGAGGGTTCCTTTCCCCATTATGTCTACTGTGATAGCCAACACCTAAATGAAAATATTATAGGTTATTGGCTTTCCCAATAGCACCAGCCACATCTCAGCAACTGCAGTCCAACCAGGCTGCAGAATTGAGTTGTTAATTGAGAGGAATTAGAGTTGGAGGGAATGTGGGTTAGGATCTTGGGAGGAGGGTCTAGGATAAAGGTAGAAATTACAAACTTGTGTTTCCCAAAATGTTTATGACTTGAATTAAGGTGACCTGGGCTGAGCTGACTTAAAGGACCCAAGAGATCAGACAAAACTAGGAGTCGAAACTCTTTCACTCCTCCCGATCAATACCAGCAGCTGATTTCACTGATATAAATTCTGATTTATACACAAATTTCACTGATGTAATTCATTATCTATAAAGATTTTACATGAAATATGCCACTTGTTCATCACAACTCTATGATATAGAGCAAGCAAAATGATAATACAGCTATGGTTCTAATGTGTCCCCCAAAAATCCGCGTGTTGGAAACTTAATTACCATTGTAATAGCATTAAGTGGTAATGCTTTTAAGAGGTGATTAGACCATGAGGGATCTGCCCTCAGGAAGGGATTAACGTCATTATCTCAGGAGTGGGTTAGGTATCATGGGAGCAAGTTTCTAATTAAAAGTATGAGTTTGGCCCCATTTCTCTCTCTGTCTCTCACATGCACTCACTCATTGCATGATGCCTTCTGCCACAGGATGAACCATGCCAAATCCACCATGCTCTGGACTTCTCAGCCTCCAGAACCATGAGCCAAATAAACTTCTTTTCTTTATAAATTTCCCAATATATTGTATTCTGTTACAGTAGCAGAAAATAGACCAAGACAAATCCCCATTTTATATGTAAGGAAATGAAGACCTTGAAAGATTAAGTAACTTTCCTAAAAAGCATACACTCAGTGCCAAAACCAGAAACTAAATCTTTCAATTCCCCGTTCATTACTCTTTCAGCCATATAAGCTCTTAAGCTAAAGTAACAGAGGATTTACAACCTCCTGCTCTTGCAATGCACATTTTACCACCAATTTTTTTTTTGGAGATGGGGTCTTGCTCTGTTGCCCAGGCTGGAGTACAGTCATAGCTCACTGCAGCCTTGAACTCCTAGACTTAAGTGGTCCACCTGCCACAGTCTCTCGAATTGATGGAATTACAGATGTGAGCCACAGCCCCTGGCCTAACCCTACATTTTTGGAGTGTTTATTTCTCATTCTACAGACATGCTGAGTAGCCTAGCATTACCAAAAAGTTGTAAAAATCAAAAGAGCTAATGTGCAGAAAGCTCTAGCAGATACAGATGCCCACAATGCATCAAAATCATAGTAGATAAATTAAACTCTCAGAGCAGTGGCTTAAGGGATAGGCAGAAACCAGGAGTTACAGACAACAGCAAGATGGGTAGGAAACGCGTCCAGCTGTCCAGGGGCTCCCACTCTTTGAGAGAAACAGGGGAGAGCATAAATCACTGCACTAACAGGCAGAACAAGTGCCAAGAAAAAGGCAGAGCGCACTGGGGAGGATCACATCTGGGTCTCTTGCTGAGCAGAAAGAGAACCTGAAAGGACCAGGGTGGCAGGGGTAGGGGCGCCCGTGGCTGAGATGGGCAGCCAGAGCCATTACCTTTCTAGCCAACACGACCACCCCGATGCCTGCTGTGCAGATGACCACCAGCGTCGCGGCTGTGGCTCCAAACAATAGAATCTGGAACCCGGCACTGTGCTCAGCCACTAAAGGGAGAACAAAACAGAGGTGAGTGGCAGAAACCGGAAGTGAAGTTGATTTCCCCAGGGCAGCCTGAGCTTCATGGCAGAGAGGTGGGGATTGGCCAGGCCCTTTGTGTAATCACAGGACGGGAGCCTTTAAGCCCAACACTTGAGCAGAGTACCCTTCTGGCCCATCGTGAAATCAATGATGATCTTTTGAGCAGTGGTGTACCTTGTATATTTGACACCAGAGCAGGTTGTTGTAACACTCCTTTCCTCTATATGACAAAATCGTTTTCAGTAATCATGAAATGAAACAAAATGTCCAGAAAAAAACTCAGAAAGTGAATATTTTCTTTTATTAAATTCCAAATATGAAATCATATCAACAAAAATATTTAAATCAAAATTAAAATAAAGTTAATATTCAATTACAAAAGTGAAAAAAGCATGTGACCTTTTACCTTAAGCCTGTAACACTTATTTCCAGCTAGGCTGTGAAACCCTCTAGGGTATGAGGCTCTGGAGTCTTATCCTTTGCTGTTTTCTCAGCATCTGACACATAGTGAATGCTCAGTAAATATTTGTGGCATAAGTGAAATCATGAACTACTGAATTTCATTAAGAAATAACATGTAAGTGGAAGAAAGAAGATGCAGGAGGGGAGTTTTGAGGAGATGAGTAGGATCTGACCCAGGAAGAGTGTGAGAAAAAGAACACCATCACCTTATGCACACTGTGCTGTAGGTGGGTTTCCTGGCTCCCCCAGGAACTCGGGCAGGACTCAGGTATCCAGGAGAGTCTTGAAAGGAAAAGGGGGCAGCAGAAGTCTGACACCTTGTCCCTCTAACGAAGGGTTTGGGTTGCTAACAGGTGGCTTAGGAATCCAATCCATAATAAGACAAGGGTGGTGCCTGCAGAATTCAAATTCCCCACAACATGTTCCTCCTGCCTTAAGGGACTCAGTCACAGCAGACCAGGATGGCTCCTGGTTAGCACAGCCATACAGTTAGTTCCGGAGGAAAGAGGGCAGATGAAAGGCAAAGGGGTCAGTGGAGGACACCCTGCAGGGAGAGCTGCAGAGGGCTATCCATAAAACCCGAAAAGGATGTATGATCAGTTTGGGGGCAGAGCCAGATTGGAACCAGGGTTAGGCCTGAATTCTCTTATACCTTGGGGATAGATGAAGATAAGCTGGGGCTAAAAGCATGTTGAGATTTAGGGAAGATGAATATAATGAGTTTGATTAGATTCAAGGATACGTTAGAGATACAATTAGGACCAGAGTGGAATTTGGGATATTAGGAATATCAATTTCGTCCAAAATTTTTGGTTTGAAATAAAAGCACCAATGTCTCCATTCACAGTTATGGTCATAGAACAAAGATGTCAAGATCTTTGAAACAGAAGCAATCCTGAGTAAGCGTGACGTCACTACGTGCAGGGTGGAGAAGGGGCAGACTCTGTAAAAGGGTTACGTAAACCTTCTACCTATTAACCAGGTTAACTTTGGGGTTAAGTACAATTTTAGCATTAAGATTATTTATTAATTTATGAAGCTTAAATATTACAGATAGTATTAGGTTAGGGACTTGGACTAAGGTTTGAGATCAGGTTCAAAAAGAAGCCAGGGTTGGCGCAAATACAAGTAATTAGGGAGAGTCAGCATTCCACATAAGCAACCGACTGCTTGGGAAACAAGAGGGAAGAGCCAAGGGACCAATGGTGTTCCCTGGAGTCTGCAATGGCAAAGGGGTGGAAACATACAGGCTTTGTGGGGAGGCTGCACAGGGGTTTCCAATAGAGCTCTTCTGATCTCTCTCCCCAGGGGTCCATGAGCCACAGAGAAGAAATTTGCACCTTCATTTCCCCAGGTTCATGCTGGGGAATAGCCGTGCCACTGTGACCTTGGGGAGGAGTGTGCATGTCAAGGAGCAACGATCCATGAATGGCCTAGCGGGGACGTTAGCAACCACACAGCTCCCAACTGGTCTTCAGTTGCTGGGACCACCTCCCCACAGGGGCCTTCAGCCCGAGCTCCCTCCCTGTTCCTGGTCCTGCTGTCTGGAGATGGGTCCTCTGGCATATGACACTGGGGTAAAGAGCCCAGAATGGTCAAGGCCATCACTTGATTACTTTGCCGGAATCCAGGCCCCCTGCCCTGCTTACTGTCCCAGGCCTCTTCTAACCACAAACCGATAAGTAGCATAAAAACTGGCCCTTCTTAAGTTAAGCTTATTCATGTCTAGCACTGCTGTAAGACCTTACTTGTATCACTCATGAAAGTATTCACTACATTTTGTCAGCAAGAAAACTCAGAAAAAAAAGCACATAATTTACCCAGATTTCATGGGGTCAAAAAGGATAGTCAACCCCAGAGAGTGCGAACCAGCTAAGAAGTAACATTTGAAAGGAACCTTTAAGGTAACCTTTTATCTTCTCAGTTTACACATATTTTGCAAATCATATGACTTAATCTCCAACATAAGCAGTAAATAGGAGTTCTGAGGATGCAGTTTAGTAGAATAAGAACATCTGTGTTAAAATCAGCTCTACCACTCTGAGCAACTCCAAGCCCCAGCTTCTGCCTGCATCAAACAAATGGGAATCATATTAATAGTTAACACTTATAGCACTGACCATGTTCCAGGTATTGTTCCAAGGACATTTTCCTGTAGTCGGGAATTCGATCCTACATTAGTAACATATAAGATCTTACATTCATCCTCATTTCGTAGATGAGAAAACTGATACACAGAAGCTAAGAAATCCTGTCTGAGGGCAACAGCAGAGCCAGGATTTGCACCCTTGTCTGGTGTCAGAGTCTGAGCTTTTATCCATGGTGCTATACTGTCTCACAGATAGGATAAGAATCCTTTTCTATCCTCTGGGAATTGGTTTAAGTATGCAGGTGGATAATGAATATGAAGGCATTTTGGAAACTTGGAAATACCACACAAATGTAAGTTATTGGAAAATTAAGCTTAGCACTGGCTGTGCTTTTTTTTTAACCAGCTCTAATTTTTATACATTTAGAGGTTAATTCTAATTTGCACTATTGATGCTAAATCAATAAGTGGGAACTTTTGCATATGACCTCATCAACTGGTCTTCCTAGGAAACATAGGTAAGATGTGCTTCCTATGTAAGAACAGTGGTTCTCAGTATTGGCTGCCCATTAGAATTACCTGGAAATGCTTTTAGAACATACCCCTTCTTAGCTCTGCCATTAGGGGTTCTGATTGAACTGGTCTGGGTACGGCCTTAGCATCAGTATGATTTAAAATCTCTTTAGGTGATTCAAATGTGATCCTGAATTGAGAAGCCCTGCTGCTCAGTGTTTCGGGATTGCATTTTCTACACTAGAAGGAGAGGATTATCTGCCAACTTGCTCCAGCAGGAATACCTGAGCTTTCTCGGACCTCCAGGAAGATTCTCCCGGTGTAAGTTCCATCAGGGTAGGTGTGATAGATGCAGAAATATTCCCCGGTATCGTTCGTCGTCAGCAACTGGAGGGTGAGGCCCAGGCCAGGGCCTGGGGCCACTCGATCCTTGAAGGCTGGGAAGACATGCCACCCCAAGTCAGCATCACGAATGGCTAGAAGCTGGTCCTGCTGCTTCCAGTTGACCTGGGTCACTTGTGCCGTGGTGGAAGAGAGGTGACATTGTAAAATGACAGAGCCACTTTTCTCTGCAGAAATGTTCCCCATTGTTACTATGGCGCCTGGCATCATTCCTAGGGCAGAGGACAAAGCACATGTGAGTCCTGGGTCAGCAGTTGGCCTTCAGCCTTCCTAGAAAAGCTCTAAGGGGCTTCAAGGCCACAGCTGGGTTTTGGAATGACAGTTTCTCCAGTCCATCCTGTTGCTCCACATATAGACTGTCATTATTTCCCGTTTCTTCCATTTCAAGAGACGCTCCTCTCCAAGCCTGCTACTCAAGGCTCCCAGTCCCCGTCAGGTTCTCTTTCCAGTCTTCTCGCCCTTCTCCAAACTTCTCTACTCCAGCCCAGCCCAGCCCATCTCCTCCCCACCCACTGCCCTATGCTTCCAGAGACTACCTCTGCCCCTCTTTACGTCCCACCCACAGGAAGGCTTGTCAAGGCTGCACTCCCTCCTCGCCTCCTAGAAGACCCCAGCCCATCTCCATCTCCCTTTCCTCTTCACGCTCACTGCCTGCATTGCATAATTAGCACCTTACTAAATGCCTGGCTTATGACTACACAACTTAGCACCTTGCCCCCTCAGCATATTCTGCCATGTAGCTTCATGGCTAGCTTGTTATTTTCATAGGCTCATTTAATCTACCTGCTTAGAACATAAGCCTTTGTCAGCCGACACGGCCTCTTCTGTTTTTGTTTTATTTTGTTTTGTTTTTATGTGTCTTTCTGCAGCCTAGTCCTGTGCTGGATGCATTATTCTTTGAAATAAAACCTTGCTGTTTGGTTGATTGTCATTTGGGGTGCCTGGAAAAACCTTCAGGAAAGCTAAGAAATCCAATAGCAAAGGAAGCTTAGCAGGAAACCTGCGTCTCCCAGGCATAACCACTCTCTTAGCACTTAACCTCTCCCTAGCAACCCTGGGCACATCTCCAGCCTCACACAGTTCAGAAAGCAACACCAAAACTAGTTGACACCACAGTTTTTAAATATTTGTGTTCCCCTCCCTCAGAAATAGTTGACTCAGATTTTTAATAGAGAAGAAATAAATTTAACCAAAAATCATTCTCTATTGGTAGAATCTCTGGAATCTGTGAAAAACATTTTCAATTCGCAGAGAACATACAGTGTTTTCCTAGTAAGTTCCTCAAAGGCAACAGAAAAGAAGCTGGAGCAGGAATGAGCTTCTGAAGGCAAACTGGCAATGCTTCCTGCCCAGCCCTTCTTCTTCCCCTGCTCCCTTCTCGTGCTAGCCAGTCAGGCTTCCCCAACCCCAAGAGTCTACAAAGTCCTTCATCTGCCACCAAAAACAGAGCCACATCTCACTCTCAGAGATTGTCCTTTCTTACGTGAGAGTTCACAGGACTCTAAAAACTGCATTTCTTTCCCGTAAGCTGCTGTGGCATGCATTTGGCGTCACCCCTACATAAGCACCCTGGTCTCCACACCAAGCTCAGCCTTGTATCCCCTCTGCACTGCTCTGCTGAGTTTCAGGCCTTACCTGAGGTGAGGGGAGCCTGCCTCAGCCCCTGGGCCCAGATCAGGAGGAGACACCACCGCATACTTCTGCCCAGAGGGCCTAGGAAGCAGATGTGGCCTCTTCTGCCACAGGAACTAGCCAGCCGCAGATAAGACAGTAAAACTGAACCTATGAGAAACAAGGGTCTCGGAAAAACCAAGCTGGGCAAAAACCGTGTTAAAAACACATGAAGTTCTCAACACGTACACAAACTGCATAGGGTGAGCCACAAGAAAGGCCATGAAGGAAACATTTAAAAATAAACAAAAAATTGTGGTTAGAGGTACAGCTTGTAATTAGTCAAGCTGTTGTTTTTAAGTTCTATCTTAATGTACTTTTCTAAAAATCAGCCTTTAGCCAAAGAGCTCAAGGGCATCTGTGTAGTGCCCAAGATTCTGAAGAACCCGCTACTGAGGAGGAACTGTTGGCTGGGCTCCCCTGGCATCCTCCTGCTGAGGAATGTGCAATGACAAGAGAAACTTAAAATTATAGGGACTTACAGGCCAGGGACTGCACTTAAAATCTAACGAACAAGTGAACAAGAAGTGTTTACTTGGGGGATGATACATGGATGGGACAAAGGTATTGGACAAACACAGCATCTTTCCTTTGAAGGAGATCTCCTCGAATCTTACTTCTTTCGTATTATCTGGCCTGAAGCTTCATTGAATTCTGGTTTAGTTTCTCTGATTCAGTAGAATCAGAGGTTAGAGGAGGGAGATTTCCTGCGCACAACGACCCCATAAGAGTCGGAAATGCACAGAAGGGTAAGCCCCTGCAGGTGACCCAGGAGAGGGATTGGTTGACATTTGCCTGGAGTTCCCAGCTCATCACAGGTCCTACTATGGACCCATCCTTCTTTCCTCCCTCCCTCCCTTCATTCATTTGAAAGTCCCTGAGTACCTACAAAGCACCAACCTCAACACCAGGCTCTGAAGATATGAGAGTAAATAATAACTGCCCTTTCCCTCGAAGAGTTTACAAAGCTTGTTCCCTGGTGAACTCAGTCAGGAGACGGGGTAGAGGATCCACATTCACCTGCCTCCCAGGCTCTCAATGAAGTTACCTTGGGGCATGCCTCATGTTGTACATCTTGAAAATCTGCTTCTGCACCCAGAGGCATCTGAAGCTTGGTGCCCTGTCCCCTCCATTCCAGCCATGCACCTCTAGCATTTCACACCATCCAGGCCCCTGCCCTCCTTCTCCCCTGCAAGGTCTTCTATATCAGGTCAGCTTTCTCCCCTCCCTGGGTTCTGCCTATTCCCAATTCTATGACTTGTGCACCCCTTATCCCCCACCTACAGACCCTTAGACAATATATGCCTTAGAAGTTTCTCTCTGCCTACCCAATTCAACCTGGCCTTCAAGGCTCACATCAAGAGATCCTCCACCACCTTTCAACAGCTACAATTCCTACAGCTGAAGGAGCAATGATACCAAACGTGTGTCCAAGGGAAGGTGCTGAGGTTGAACTGAGGAGATGTTTCCCAAACTCACTAAGGTGGGGGAGCCAGGAGTGGCAGGGCCAAGAGCAGCTGGTGAGACTAGAGCACAGAAAGTGGTGGACATGAGGATTTGTGCTATAAAAAAATGCACTGCCTGTGTTTCCATAGTGGGTGGGAGCCAAAGAGATGAGACCTGTCTTATGCAATAAGAAATCCAAAGAAATTTAGAGTTGGTTTTAAACAATTGTTAAATAATTTTTCTGTTTGTTGCTAAGTAACCAGTCCAAAGAAGAACACAGTTAAGTCCATTTTGATCAATGGTGCCCTTGAGGGGGATGATTAACAGACTGGGTCCAAAGTCATCCTGTCTGGTGACCTTGGAAAACTTTCTCAACCTCCTGAAGCCTCAGTTTCCCCATCTGTGTATAGGAATAAGAGTACCTCTTTCACAGGGTTGTGAGGATTTAATGAACTAGTGTTTGGTAAAGCGCTCACACAGTGCCTGGAACATCGCAGGGGTTCAATACATCTATAATAGTTTTGATAACAGTATTAATTTAGGAAGTGAAAATTGGAGAACAATATCCTTATTTATATAACGTGTTTTGCCAAGAGTAAAATCCTAGTCTCCAGACGCCACGGCCAGGGTTCCATCCAACCTCTTCCTTCTGCCCTCCTTATCTGATAGATCAGGAGGACAGGATGTTTTTGCAGGAAAGTGGACACTTGCCAGCTAGACCCTAAGGCTGCCTTGGAGGAAAGCAAATGACAGAAGTCTCTCCCCAGGGAATCTACCCCAGACCCTCCAGAGCCTCCTGCAGAGACTCCAAGGGGAACCTCGTTTGTTCCCACCCACTCAACACCAGCCCCCAGCGCCGCCAGCAGGCCTCTCTGAGAGCGTCCTGGGCCACCCTGAGCTTTTAGGGCCAGTCAACAGCCCCCGGCGTCATAGCAAGGATCTGTGAGGTCCGTCAGGTGTTGACTCCCATTTCTATTTTAAAAGTGCTAAAATCAGCCACTGTGTTTTATTCTCCCCTGACTTTGGGGGCTGTGAGTTGGACACGTCTGGTTCACCCTGACGCAGCTGGGTGAGTACAGGTGCTGAAAAAGAACGTCACGTTTGTCTGTAAAAGAAGTGCTGGCCTAAACAGTGAAACCCTCTTCAAGTCAGCGCACAGCTCGGCCATCCCCAAGCCCACCCTGCGCCCGGTGAAAGCCGCAGGCCAGCCGCACTGGAGTCCACAGCCTCCAGCCGCAGGCACGGTCCGGAAAACCTGCGGCCCGCGGCCAGGAGTGGTGGTACCTTCCCCAAGACCGGTGACTGGTACCCAGGAAACACGACCTAGGGTTCTCCCAGAGCACAGATCCATCTCCCGGCGATGTCTTTCGGCTTCCACTTCTCCAACGTCTTCCCCCTGGCTCCGAGGTGGTGGGGGATCTCCACGGCTGTCACAGCTGTCTGATGCCCCCTGTCTCTGCCTCGAATCAAGGGCAGCATCCTGAAGCAGCAGGGGGTCGTGCTCTCTCCTCCAAGCTCCCCACTCCCCGTTCTGTAAAGCAGCGCCTCCTGGTGGCAGGTTGTATTATGGCGGGGGGCGAGAAGGCCCTGCCTCCTGCCTTAGTTTTAAGGAGCAGAAGGGCTGGGCGAGCACCGGAGCCCCTGACACAGGGGAGACAAGGGGGCCTGGCCGCCCTGGGCACCAGGAAGAGCCCGCCCTGAGTCCCATCACCCCCAGCTGCCTCGCAGCTTTAGCCAAGCTTCCTCACAGTGGGGCGCTCTGAGCCACGTGGTTCCAAAGCCGCTTGCGGAGAGCTGCCTCAGAAAATCAGACACCACGTGAAAGGGCTGCCCATGATCTGAGGCTGATTAACAAGCCTGGGAGCCACGGGGCTTGGCTGACCCTGGCTTTTGGCAAACGCAAGTCAGGAGAATCTGGGGATGGGACCGCTGACTTGTGTTTCTCAAAGCTCCCTCCCGTGAGGTGACTCTGAGGATCCGTCTCCTCCATCCTCTAAAGCTGCCAAGAAGCTCAACCGACCATGGGAAATTTCCTTCTTCTTCCCAGCTGTGAAAATAGGACAGACACCCCTAGGATAGGTTGGAATGCGGAGTCAGAAGAAAGGTCTTTGGGAAGAGGCAGCTGATCCTCTCTGCTTAAGACTCTCCTGCGGCCACTCTTCACAGCCCTCCTACTCACATTGCTTCCCTCCTCCTCCTCTATCCTAGACGGGATTTAACTATTGCATAATTAGAAAAATTGGACAACTACCCTTGTTAAAGCATGGTAAGCCAGCCTTTATCCAGGACCATCACAATAAGTATAGGGACCAAGGCAATGGGATTTTGCCTTGAAAAAGAAAGAGAGTAGAATGATTGTTCCCAGAGGCTGGGAAAGGTAGCTGCAGGTCAGGAGACGAAATGGGGATGGTTAATGGGTACAAAATATAATTAGGTAGAATGAATAAGGTCTAATATTTGATAGCACAACAGGGTGACTACAGTCAACAATTTGCTGTACATTTAAAAATAACAAAGAGAATAATTGTATTGTATATAACACAAAGAAAGGATAGATGCTCGAGGTGATGGATACCTCATTTACCCTGATGTGATTCTTATACATTATTTGCCTGTATCAAAATATCTCATGTTATCCCATAAACATATATACTCACTGTGTACTCACAAAAATTAAAAATTGAAAAGAGAGTGAAAGAACTCCAAGTGGGACACACAGCCAGGGTGATAGAACGTAAGGACTCAGGGCTCTGGAGGAAGAGCTCCTGGAAAGGAAATTCCTGCCTGTTTCAGGGTTAAATTCAAGGCCTCTGCCATCTAATGCATCTCACATGATATAGGGTGTTTAGAATTAAACTGCACATTGCATCAAAGGAATTGCCAATGGTAAGGTTGTGAGAAGACAACAATTGTAAACTAATTTGGTTTGGCTGTAAAACATTACTAATTTCAGTCCCTTACGTGACTACTAAACATTTAAGTAAAAATACTGTTTAGCATAATAATAATTATGCACACAACTGGAAAATACAGTTGGAAATACATAATTAATTTTAAAAGTCATAATAATTAAAGGAGTTTTCAATATTTAGCCAAATTCCTTATACTGGATAGGCAGTTACTAGCCTGAGCTAAGTCTGCTTGATTCCCTGTCGTAACAAATTTAACAGCCCTAACACATTTCTTCATGTCAATCAATCAACAAACACTGAGAACTTCCTTTGCAAAACTGCTATGCTAGGCATTATGGTTGATATAAAGAAAAAAGTTTACTTATGGAGCTTACAATCTAGCTAGATGTTATATACTTAAACAAAACTAATGTAAAATAGAAAGAAAGCTGTAAGAGTGAATGACAGGTACAGACAAGCAAAAGTGGATTTATAGGATAGTCATTTGTATCAGGTAAACAAAGAGGTAGTTTTCTGGATGAAGCAAGGATGACTAATCTCAGAACAAGCAGATGTGTCTAAGTAATATAAAGGTAAATGTCAAGGTAGTAACAACCATTGGCATGCAGCCAATCCCTGTGCAGAGTCATGATGGCAGTGTTAACCCATATATTCAGACGTGCATGCTCTTAGACAACACCTCAGAAGCATGATGGGACATTCGGGCATGCCTAGACTTTGTGTTTGAAAACATGTTATCAAAAAAATGGATGCAAACTGTGTCTTGGCTCAAGGGAAGGCATGATAAAACTCAGTAAAAGATTTGTAAGATTTTCCCTAGTCCAAAAAAAGTTCATGTCCGTAGCTTGCTCTCTCGGTCAGACAGAGATAAGCAGTAAGCACAAATATCTGATCTTCCTATCAAAGTGGTTAAGGAGAACATGACTCTCATGGGGCAGCTAGAGGGCAAGGGGAAGTGTCAGGTTCTGGCTCCACAATCACCCTGTCTGAAAACAGAACTTTTGCCTTACAGAATTGAAGTCACCCTTCCAGAAAATCTGAGAAAATTCTTCAGGAAGGAAAGTGAGGCATGATGTGAGGTGTAATTAACTAAGAGCATGTAGAATTCTACAAGGGGGAAAGAGGGGTCAAAATATATAGATGTGGCCTCCAGGGCTCTGTTTGGCTCTTACTAAGACATTACCCACTCCCTTCTACCAGCCCAATCCGCCTCCTGCGTCACCACTACAAACTGCAGAGCTAAGCCCAGCGTGTCCTCTATTCCTTTCTGCTTATGTGAACCAGCACCAGACGTGCAGGCCTCCAAGGTCAATGCTCAACATCTAGACCCCTCTTCCTTCATGGCTCAAATCTGACCCAATTTCTCATACTCCCGACTCTCTCCTACTCCAAACACTCTCTATTCCGCCCTCTGAGTCTTGAGGCTTACCATCAGCAAAGTCTCTTTTACCTTTAAACTTTTCTTTGAATCGCTGGTTTTCAAAGTATGGGCTGGGATCAGCAGCGTCACATCACTTGAGAAATTGTTAGTTCTTCTGTTACTATCATCTGGAGGTATTTTATGTTGTTTCGTTTTGAAATAAAAAACAATATAGAAAAGAAGTCATAGAGACATCCAGAGCAGTGAGTGATTACTTATCTAAGGAATACCACATCATTGTCATCTGTGAACTTTACACCATTTCTACTCCAGGCGGAGTCATGGACTAGTGCCAGCGCCCAAGCTGCCTGTGACTAGTCTTCAGGAAGACAAGTACGGAAACTGAAAATGAAGGGTTAGCAACATATAGCAAATTGGCTGTGATATTAAGTCTTATTAATACAATAATAATTTATAATGGAGCCTGAAAAAGAATTGGAGGGCAAATTCTCAGGCCCCATCCCAGACCTACTGAATGTGAATCTCCGTGAAGGGGGACCCAGTGATCAACATCCTAACAAGCCCTCCAGGAGATTCGTTAGTTGCCGAAAGGCATCTGCAAGGATTTGCCTTCCAAGGTCTTCAAGAAGCAGCCTCTGCTACTGCACTGATCACAACAGGGATCACCTCCCTTCTTGCATAGCAAGTAAAATACCCCTCCCATAAAAAATAATAAAATAAAATATCCCAGCCTAAAATATCAAAGCAACCACCTTTTCTACATTTGACCTTCACCTCTCACTTCTTGTGCCCATCCCTTCTCTCTCTCTCTCTCTCTCTCTCTCTCTCACACACACACACACACACACCCCTCCTGAATCATCCAGTTTGAGTTTCTTAGAACTAATTATCTTCCCTTTTACCCTAAAATAATGATCTCCTTATCTTTTTTCTTTTTAGTTCACGCTTCAGAAGTAAAAAAATAAAAGACTTGTCAAATATGTATATGTATATGAAGTATGTAGGTATATGGCTGTAATAATATATTTTATACATTATAAAACAAAAACAAAGAACATAGTAAGATATTGGGTAAAAAATTGTTAAATAAAAAAATGAGGAATCATCTTTATGCATCCAAATGATTCATATTGTGCAAATTACTTCAGGGACATTAGCTTTGACGAATCAAGAAATTGCAGGGTTAGGCAAGGCACAGTGGTTCATGCCTGTAATCCCAATACTTTGGGAGGCTGAGGCAGGTGGATCACCAGGAGTTCAAGACCAGCCTGGCCAATGTGGTGAAACTCCTCTACTAAAAATACGAAAATTAGCTGGGCGTGGTAGCCAGTGCCTGTAATCCCAGCTACTTAGTGGGCTGAGGCAGGAGAATAGCTTGAACCCAGGTGGCAGAGTTTGCAGTGAGCTGAGACCATGCCATTGCACTCCAGCCTGGGCAACAAGAGCAAAACTTTGTCTTCCAAAAAAAAAAAAAGAAAGAAAGAAAGAAATTGCAAGGTCATGTTTCCACTACAAGTTTCTATACCTACTTACTATGCAGGCAGCACAAGAGATACAGGTGTCCTCTGACTAGGCATCCAAGTAAATGTTTAACGACCAAATCACTGAGAAAAATCCCCAGCTTGAAACATTAGTGAATGTTAGTGGCTGCTTTCAAGCTGCCAACCTGATGCTGCTGAACTTGGGAAGACATGTGCACGACCATCTCTCACAAGCCAGCCAAGCCAGTTCCAGCACTGGATTCTTGTGCCCACACTTTCTTGATTAAGGCCTATTTTTCAGTTAATTCCCTCTCTGAAAATCAGTTCCCTAGAAGAAAGGGAATTAACTGAAAAATAGGCCTTAATTTAAGCATTTTCTAATGAACTTTTTCTTTTTAAATTTCTCAAAGTCCCTGCTATGGAGGTGGTGGTGGATTCTTAGTCTCTCTGGCTTCAGCAGGAGTCTCCAGGTCTAATAAAACAGCTGGTTGAACATGGGAGCCAGATGTTCACCTGGGATTTGTCCACCTGTAGGGAGAGAGGGGACAGATGGGGAGAGAAGTGGTGACAGCAATGCCTTGAAAATACTCGCCACCTGGCCCTGTGTCAGCCGCAAGGGCTAATGCAAATACACCCAACCTATTAAAACAGGAGCTGGGATTTAGGTCCCTCCAAAGCCCAGGCTCTTTAACTTCAGCAGCATCTGCCTGCCTACCTACCTCTCCCCCTCCCGACATGGAAATCCCAAACCTGACAGTAGTGAGTATGTAGGAGCTCTCTAATTTTTAGAGCTAAGTCAAAGTAGAAAAACACTAGTTAACATGACCACTTACTAATGTGAATTGAGCAATTGCTAGGTACCAGGCCCAGTTCCAATTGCTTTGTAAAGTATATACTATGAACACTCCCCTTTTGCAGATGAGGAAATGGGTTTGGAAAGGTTAGACAACTTGCTCTAGGTGACAGAGCTAGTGAGAGGCAAAATTTGGATTTGAACCCACTTAGGCTGGTTCTAGAACCTGCGTTCTGAGTGTCTCATGTTCTACTGCCTGTCTCTACTATCTGAGGTCTTCAGGGTGTCAGGTGGGCTCTATCTGGAGTAAAAAACCCCAGAGAAGTGTCTCCCTGTCCTCAAGGTGCTTCCAGAAAGTGTACAGCCTTCTTAGGAAAACAAGACTAATGCAAATGAAGTAATTAGAAAATCTTAGCAGACAGTCTGTAATTAGCCGTAATGTAATATTCCCCACGGCTAAGAAAAGTGCTTCCTAGTGAAAGCCATGAGACCTAACCCCTGCCTCCAGAGCTATAATCACTCTTCTAGAAAATCGGAATCTAGGTCAGACAGGGCTCTCGGCCTGCAATCTGGTACTGCAATTCTCTCTCCCAAGGAATCCCCCCTCTTGACCAACTGGCATATCCGTAAAATAGCTATATAAAACTCATCATATGCAGTTTTTTTTCTGGTGTTTTTTTCAAACTAATGAAAAAATATTTTTAAACCTCTGTTTAAAAAGTCCTGGTTCTCAAGTACCACAAAAGCCCTAAGTGTGGGCTCTAGTCTTTCACCCCACCTTCTCTGTTGAATGGTATCAATTCTTTGAGTTTGCCCACTGCAGTCCTTTCTAAGCCAACAAGATGATGGAAATTCACAGAGCAGGAGAATCTTCAGAATTCCAAACTTGTTCCCATTCCTATCTTGTGGAACAAACTACCAAAAACGTAGTGACTTAAAACAGTAACCATGATATTTTTTATTATTTTTTGGAATTCCTTTGAGCGACAAGTTCTTAGCTGGGTGAATGTATTAGTTTGCTAGGTCTGTGTAACAGAGTACTACAGGTTACAAAGTAAAGTAACATAAACAACAGAAATACTTTTTAAATAAGTTCTGGAGGCCAGAAGTCCAAGACCAAATTGGCGGCAGGGTTGATTTCTTCTGAGGCCTCTCTCCTTGGCTTGTAGGTGGCCACTTTTCCATGGGTTTCCACATGACCTCTGTGTGTGTCTGTGTCCTAACTTCCTCTTCTTACAAGGACACCAGTCATATTGGATTTGGGCCTACCCGTATGATCTAATTTTACCCTTAAAAATCTCTTTAAAGCTCTGTCTCCAAATAGTCACATTCTCAGGTGCTAGGGACTAGGATTTCAACCTGTGAATTTTGGGAAGACACAGTTTGGCCCGTAACAGTGAGTTTTTTGCTCCTTGTGGCATGCACTGATGTCATTCAGCTCAGTTGGCAGATGGGCTAGTCTGGAGGGTCCAAAATGGCTTTAGTCACATCTGCAGCTTGGTGGGGATGGCTGGATTACAAACATGCACCACCATGCCCAGCTATTTTTTTTTTTTTTGATATTTTTAGTAGAGACAGGGTTTCACCATGGTGGCCAGGCTGGTCTTGAACTCCTGATCTCAAGTGATTCAACTCAGCCTCCCAAAGTGCTGAGATTACAGGTGTAAGTCACTAAACCTGGCCATGGGTAACTTATTTGTAAATACAAGTTTGAATGGCTCATGTTTCCACAAGCTGTACAGGAAGCATGGCAGCATCTGTTTCTGGGGAGGTATCAGGGAGCTTTTACTCATGGCAGAAGGCAAAGCTGGGGCAGGCATCTTCACGTGACCTGAACAGGAGAAAGAGAGAGCAAGAGGGGAGGCGCCACACACTTTTAAACAACCAGATCTTGTGAAAACTCTATCATGAGAACAGCACCAAAGGGATGGTGCTAAACCATTCATGAGGGATCCACTCCCATGATCCAATCACCTCCCCCTAAGCCCCTCCTCCAACCTTGGGGATTACAATGGAACATGAGATACAGGTGGGGACACAGATCCAAACCATATCATTCTGCCCCTGGCTCCTCCCAATCTTATGTCCTCACATTGCAAAATACAATCTTCCCTTCTCAACAGTCCCCAAAGTCTTAACTCATTTCAGCATTAATCCAAAAGTCCAAAGTCTTATCTGAGACAAGGCTAGTCCCTTCTGCCTATGAACCTGTAAAATCAAAAAGAAGTTAGTTAATTCCAAGATACAAGCATTGGGTAAGAACTCTTATTACAAAAGGGAAGAAATTGGTCAAAAGAAAGGGCATATAGGCTCCATGCAAGTCTGAAATCCAGCAGGACAGTCACCAAGTCTTAAAGCTCTAATATAATCTCCATTGACTCACTGTCTCACTTCCAGGGCACGCTGATGCAAGGGTGCATTCCTGAGGACTTGGGCAGCTCTGCCATTAGGATTTTTCTTTTGTACCACATGGCCAGGCTGCAAATTTTCCAAACTTTTACACTCTGCATCCCTTTTAAATATAAGTTCCAGTTTCAGGTAATTTCTTTGCTCACATATATGAGTTTAAGCTGTTAGAAGCAGCCAGATTATTTACTGAACACTTTGCTGCACAGAAATTTCTTCTGCTAAATACCCTAAATCATCACTCTCAAGTTCAAAGTTCCACAGATCCCTAGAACAGGAACACAATGCTGCCAGGTTCTTTGCTAATACATAACAAATATGACCTTTGTTCAAGTTCCCCAAAAGCTCCTCATTTCTGTCTGAAATGTTCTCAGTCTGGATATCATTGTCCATATCACTATCAGCATTTTGGTCACAACAACTTAACAAGTCTCTAGAAGGTTCCAAATTTTTTCTCATCTTCCTGTCTTCTTCTGGGCCCTCCACACTCCTCCAACCTCTGCCCATTATCCAGTTCCAAAGTCACTTCCACAGTTTCAGATATCTTTATAGCAAT